TGTATGATTATGATACATGGGTCAGAATAACTCGAAAAGGGTGATTACGATATATATTATAACACATTGAAGGGTGTATTATAATATATATTGTGATCAATGAATTTATATAAATCATAACTCACGTACTATGACATGCTGATCGATAAAAATAATATGGTAATGAGAAATGATAAGAAAAAGAATAAGTATAGATAGTACAACAATACACTTGGGGCATAGAGTCCAAAGAAGATTTGAAAAATCTTGGGAAAATAAGGATGGTGAATGCTAACGATAAAAGGATGCACAATAAATTGTTGAAAAATAGACATTCACAGGCCACACCCTCATTTCCTAACGAAACTCCTGACTATACCTTTGTTAAAAGGGGCTGGAGCGACACACGTGTATCTGTGATGTTGCGGCCAACCAGCAGCTATCTGTGCTAGGAAGTCCTCAAGGGATTCCAGGGGCAATTATTAAGAAAGTGTTATAGATGAGAAATGGTATAAAATTTGTATGATTATAAGATATGTATCGTAACAGATCGATTTATGTTGTTATGATATGTGTGTTGTAGTACATCGACGGGTGTGACTAAGATACATGTATTGTGTCATATTAAGTTGAGACGATATGATAGATGTATAATAACATAAAGATCAATATAGAAATGTATATGTAATGAGTGAATTGTTGTATATGCTTTGATGGTTGTTCTATTGTATGTGCTTGGAAATGATGAGTATTAATATGAAATGTGCACTATTGATAATGAATTAGAATAAGATATTAAGCAATAACTTTAGTTGCTTTTAAAATAATTTATAATAAAAGAAATTTAGTGGGGTGGAAAATACTCACCATTATTGATATTTTTCAGGTAATAGAGGAAAATAAATGGAGATGGATAATCCGTTCTACGGTCATACTCGTCAAGGATTGTGGAAAAAGAACTGCTCAAATATAATTGATTTAATATAATAAATGTATAAATCCATTTATGTATTTTATTTCATTGACACTAAAATTTTAGATTGGTAATATTTATATATTTGCCAAATTTTATTAGTTATATTTCCATATTGTATCATTTCTTTAAAATTGTATAATTTTCTACAATTTTCTTAATCGTGTTTTTAGTAATATAAGTTATTGAAGTGAATTATTTATATAAAAAGAAGGATGTTACAGGTACGACCTGCACAGGGCTCACCCAAGGGCTATCAAAAATAGAAAAAATAATACCAGTATCTAATAACTTCATTACCTCCTTTTTTACTACTTCCTTTAGACTGGGGTTAAGTTTCCTTTGAGGTTGAACCTTGGGTTTGAATTCCTCCTTAAGGTGAATCCGGTGGGTGCAAATGGAAGGACTAAGATCCTTGATGTCATGAATGCTCCACCCAAAGGCCTCCTTGTTCTCTCTTAAGACTCTCATCAATTTGTCCTCCATAATATCTGTCAATTTAGAAGAAATTATTGCAGGAAGAGAAGAAGAAGGAGATAGAAAAGCATATTTAAGATTAGAGGGAAGGGGTTTGAGCTCTAATTCAAGGGGTTCTTTAGTGGATGGTTTAGGAATTTGAATATCTCGTGCTCCCAAGCTTTCAAAATGCCTAGGCGCCAACCATCGACTTCGATTCCCGCTCTCCAAAGCCAAAATTTCATCTATTACTTTCTCTGTTTCTATTAGAGCATCTTTTTCAAGTGTGAGAATTTTCTCTAAAGTATTATCTCTCAACCTATCAATTAATTGTACAGAGTATAAAGAGGAAAAAGGATCATTTAAAGAAATAAAATTACAAGAATCAAAACTAGAAGGTGTTTAAGAGAATCAAAAACTTTTAAAACAACTTCTTCATCGTTTAGCCTCAATGTGAGCTTCCCTTGCTGGACATCTATAATGGTCTTCCCAGTGGCTAAGAATGGTCTCCCTTGAATAATGGAAACCTCATTATCCTCCTCCATATCTAGTACAATAAAATTTGTAGGGAAGATAAATTTGTCTACCTTTACCAAGACGTCTTCTACTATACCTCTTGGGTAAGTGATGTATCTATCTACTAACTGCAAAGAAACTAAGGTAGGTTTGGGTTCTTGCATACCCAACCTTCTAAAAACAAAGAGAGGCATTAGAGCTATGTTAGCCCCTAAATCACATAGGGCTTTATCAAAATGAGAGCTACCTATAGTATAAGGAATAGTAAAACTCCCTGGATTTTTAAGTTTTGGGGGTAGCTTTTTCAAAAGGATTGCAGAGCATTTCTCATTAAGCCTTACAGTTTCAAATACATCTAACCTTCTTTTATTGCTTAATATTTCCTTGAGGAACTTAGCATATTTGGGCATTTGAGAGATGGCCTCCACAAAGGGTATGTTGATGTTCAACTTCTTCAAAATTTCAAGGAATTTGTTGAACTATGGATCCCTCTGACTACTTCTCAACATCTGTAGAAAAGGGATTTGAAGTTCTTGAGGCCTGGACATTGTTGATGATGCTTCTTTCTTTTCTTGTTCTGTTTCTACGACGTCAGCGTGGCCGTGCATATGAGGGAGCACAGGCGTGCATACAACAGTATTCTGTGACTTTGACTCGTTTTCAGGCAACGTCTTTCCGTTTCTCAATGTAATTGCCTTAGCATGTTCTTTTGGGTTAGGCTCAGTCTGGGAGGGCAACGTTCCTAGCTCTCTTTGAGTCAACAAATTTGTAAGTTATCCCAGTTGTGATTTTATCTCAAATGCATCAAAGCTTATTTTTGAAAACTTCTTGTCCATTGTTTGGGCTTGTTGCTCTATCTAAAGAATTTATTGTTCCATCTAAGACTTAAGCTTTGAAATCCTCTACTTCAATTGAAAGGTTGAGGGCTCTCTCCTTTCTATCCTTACCCCTTGAGATTGCATATGAGGAGGGCGATAAATATTTTAATTTTGACCTCCTTGGCTATTCTCCCATGAGTTCGTAGGTTTGTTACGCCTTTCCAAATTGTAACTATTGCCCAAGAAGTTGGCCTCCTCAGTCTCTAGAGGTTTTGCTAATGGATCTTATGCCCTTAATAAGAATTCTATTTGCTTTGATAGAGTTTTCAATTTATATGTTATTGAGTTGCTACTTTCTGCCGGGTAGATTGGAGCAGCTTCCGTCTTTTTGCTTTTGTGATGGTCTATATTGCATTAAAAATTACTAGATGTTATCTTTTCTATCAATGTATGGGCCGCAGTTAGAGCTATCAAAAATTTGGCCCAGCCTTAACCCTAGCCCTAGCCCATGTGGGCTAGGGCCAAAATGCCCATCAATTTATAGGCCCATAGGGCCAGAGTTAGGGTCAGGGTTTTGTGGGCCAAAAAAATTTATATGTTCTTAAAAAATTAGTTTTGAAAAAATTTGAATATCTAATAAAAATATTTATTTCATATAACTTTTTATTATAAACTTCTAGTCCAATAAAATTACTTAAAAAAAAAGAAAAATAAAATTTATGTAATAATAAATATTTATAATGATTATTGTTATTAAATAAAATTAATAAAAATAACGATTATTATATAAGTTTAATAATTTAATTTAATTAAAAATAATATCTCATGGTTGTCTTTTTCATCTTAATATCTAAGGAGTTATGTTCCTAATTATGTCTCAACCTTAATTATATACAACATTGACTAATATTCTCATATACACATATATGTACATATATATAGATGCACATACATACATAAAAATATAATCTTCAATTATATTTATATACTAATAAATATTAAATAGATTCTGCATTAAAAACTTTTTTTTTCCCTTTCAGTTAGCATATGGTTTTTGTTTACTATACCTTAAAAGTCTTTTTATTTTTCTTCCATATGTTTTTAAGGTCAAAGTGTCTGTTAATATTTAATGTTAAGTTAAAAATTTACGGCTTAACAATTTGTTATAAAACATGAAATTAATTAATTTAATCGTTAATTTAAAATTTTTATAAGTAAATTAAATTTATAAAATTTTATGTACAAATAAAATTAATAATACTTTATTATATTAATTTATTTTAACAGATATTGTATTTTTTAAATATAAATAAATATCAAAATAACAAACTAAAAAATGTTTAAATTATATGAACATGAAATTATTATAAAATAAGTCAACAGTTAATTTAGTCAATCTTGTATTTTATAAAACATTATTAAAAACATAAGTATTTATGCGTTAATAAATCTCAACTTATTTCCTAAAATTAATTTTTTGTTAAAATTTAAATTTATCAGTAAATAGAGGTTAATAAATTTATAATTTGACATAAATTATGATTTAAAAAAATTAAATAAATATTCAATTAATTTATGTATTTCGTTATATAAAAAAAGTATATATCCTCGTGCACTTAAGTTCAAAGGGTCAGTTTATTTATCCTCTTAAAATATATACATTGTCGGGTTTACTAATTTTGAGTCTAATTGAATTTTGACCCAACATAAACTAGTTTAATATATAGTTGGTTTGAGACGGACAAACATGCATATTCAGTTATTTAAAAGGAACAATTTAATTTAATTTTATAATATAATTATATTTGATATTATTTCTATGATAAAATTTTAATATATTGAATAAAAAATTATTTTTAAAATTAATTTTTATATTTTAAATATAATTTTTAATTCATTTAAATAGAATAATTTAATAAATATTATAAAAAAATAATGTAATAGTTATTACTTACTTTGTAAAATAAGTGGGCTAGCCCACCTCTAACCTTGACCCTAACCCACTATTTTCTTTATTTTGGGGCTTTTCTTTATTTTGGGGCTTAGGGCCAATGTAAACCCACTAATTATAGGGCTTAAAAAAAAAAGGGTTATATAGAGGGCCAATAGGGTAGGGCTCAGGGCTTTGGCCCATTTTGACAGCTCTAGCCGCAGTTGGTCCTTTACATAGGAAAGATCCTCCAGCAACTACATCAATTGTAGCTCTATTAGAAGATAAGAGTCCAATATAGAAAATAAGCATTTGCTTCCACACAGGGAAGCCATGATGTGGACATCTCCTTAGAAGTTCTCAAAAGTGCTCCCATGTCTCAAACAGAGATTCAGACTCATTATTGAAAATTGGAGAACTCTGTCATCAGCTTCGTAGAGAGTGATGATAGAAAATAATTGGCTAAGAATTGTTGTGTCAAGTCATCCCACGTTGTAATTAAATTAGATGAAAGTGTGGAGAACCATGCATTCATCCTTTTTGTGATAGAGAATGGAAAGAGGCGAAGCCTTATAGCATCTTTGGTGACACCATTGTATTTGATGATATCAGTGAGTTGGAGAAACTTTTTCAGATGAAGGTGGGGGTTTTCGTCAAGTCGACCCAAAAATAGTGTGGAGTTCTGGACTAGATTGATCAAGACTGACAATTCAAAATTATTGACCTCTATGTCTGGTGCTACAATGCTCCCAACATCACCCTCAACAGTAGGTATCATGTACTCCAAGAAAAAGAAATATTATTTATTTAGTAAAATTAAATTATTTAATTTTAATCATTAAATAAAAAAACTCTTCTTTTTAAAAAAATTATAACATTGACTAGTGTGTAATCTCATATGTTTAATACTAAATTGATAATATATTAATAATCATTAATTTAATAATAAAGGTTGATATCTAGTTACACTCCTCAATTTTTGGATAGCATAAAGTAATATATATATTACTTTTAAGAATCATTGAAAGATTAATATTATATTTTTCTCCTTTCTAAGTTAACTCTAGAGTATAGTTGTATTATTGTTAAACTACAATAAGTTAATATGTAATGAATGACCTAAAAGAATTCATTTCTACATTGATCAAATTGTCTTGGTGAAGGTCTTTATTTTATCATAGAGCTTAGACTCATTACCAAGAGTTGATAGATTTCTTCATGATTAATCATTAATTTTATAAGATTTAATTATACCCAACAATCATTCAATTAGTACTTTAAGACCTTTTTGGTGGCCAAGATAAGATGAGGATGGATAAGATAAGGAGATTGGATAAAAGCATAAGAAGTTATTTTTATATCTAATATTTGATACAAACTTGATAACATATTAGATAGTATATAATATCCAATGTTTGAAGTAGATTGGATAATTTTGGGATGTTATATAAATGTACAGAAAATGACAAAATTACCCTATGTGTTTATATTTATTAAATTAAATTTTAATTTTTTTACTAAATATAAATTTTTATTTCCTATATCAATTTGATTTCATAAGTAAACTAGATAAATTTTTAAACTATAGTATTTAATTTTTTTTTTGTTTTATAGTATTTAATATTATTGATATATTGAATTATATAAGTTTCAATAAAAAAATTATATTTAAACTTTCATTTAGTGATTTTGAATTCACATTAAAAAAATTAAATTATAAATAATTTATACAAATTTATACATGAAACTGTTTTTACATATATGCACATTCATATATTCATGATAGTAAAATGTTTCCACACCGAGTTAAAATAATTTTTTCTTTACCTACCAAAAATTTAAGCAAAGAAAAATCAACATGCAATTGAATTACATCAACATTTCTAATATAATACAAAATGTTGATGTCTTTTAAGTTATTAATTATGACTTAAAATATTTATTAGGTGATATAAAATAAATATAAAGAATTCATTAAATATATTTTATAAATATTAGTTCTTGAAGATTCCTTGAACGTTTTGTAATTACAAGAACATATTTGTTTTATATGTCTCCATTGGCATGCAAGTTTCCAATTCCAACTAAATAAACACATCATTTACTTAAATGGTAGATATACCTTGTCTAGTGTAGATTCTTTCCATCCAGGTAACACATAAATTTCATATCCCTGAAACATACACCTAATACATTGGTAGATATACCACCTTTTCTATTTTGATAATAAGGTTTATCAAGTATAGGCACATTAAATTTGAGGTGTGTTCCATCTAATGCCCCAATACAACACTATAAGTAACTCTAAACAAAACATATTAATGAAGTAGAAGCGACTTGAACACATTGTAAACTAGATTCTAAAACATAATATACAAATATCAACCTTAAAATACTTCCATATTTCATCTAAGCAATTTTCAATGATAGAATCTAGTGCTCTAAGTAGTATTTCTTGTAGTCGTATGACATTATTCAACATTAAATTAAAGTACATGTTAATTGTTTCTCCATATTGCTTACATAGAAACTTAATAATACAATTTTTAGAATGATGTGTTAATATGTGTAAGAACATAGCTACTTGTGCTTCAATGCTTACTACTCCATCCTCTTTTAATTTACCTTCTGGATGGAGAAGACCACATAATAAATGAAATGACCTAATATTCATATGAAGTTGACCAACAATATGAAATTATCCCATTTGATCAACATGTCTAAAAATTCTATCCTTAATCCTTCTTTAACTATTGGTTATTGTCTAAGGTTATTCATTTCATAGTACCATAGTGTAGAATAACCCATTGTTATAACAATTGTGAAACAAGCACTAACCATCTTTAGTAACATTTGCTCCAGAATTAGATGTCACAATTTCAAGTTCTTTCTCAGGGTCCATATTTACCTATACAAGATATAAAAAAATATACCATATCACCCTTCCAAAACATTTGTTCATTTACCAAAAACATGAATAAATAATGTATAGCATAATAATGGAAGTTGAAATGTTTATTTTCAATAAAAATAATGTGTCTATTGTATTTTACAAGTTGTTAAAAATGGTTTTCTCGAGCTTAGATTTTAGATATTTTTGAAGAATATCATAAATTTCCTTCTCGGCTACTATAAATGTATATAGTGAACTATTATGAACAAGAGGGGGTAAAGACATCAAATAGTTGCATGTGTGTGTTGAGTGTAATTTACTATCCTTCAGTAGTGTTAGGTTTTTTAGTGTGTATCTTATGAAGGTTGTCCATTAAATGCAGGATAATGAGAATACTATTTAGGTAACCTTTGAAAGCTATAATATACAATCCTTCGGTGGTATACAAACATAAAAGTGATGCTATGAAATAGGAAGAGTTGCCTATGTTGTATATAAACCAATAAACAACAAAGGTAAATTTTACTTATATTATGCATTCACATGCACAATGTTTTTTCTTTTACTATAAGAAAAGTATATTATTTATAAAATTTTAGAGCAAGTGCATTTTCTGTTCACGCCTAAGATAGTAAAGTGGATTCTTTTTTTTAATACTAAAAAATATCATATTTGAAAGCTACTTAAAAAATTTGCTTACTGCCACTATCTATTTGCTTTAATTATGCACATTGATAAGATATTTACAAATTTTTACAAAACTTTGTATTGGAACTTATTTTATAAAGTAACTTTATTGTTGACTTTTTCAAAACTTGCAACTTGTGTACAAAGGTTATAACTTTGTTTGGTAAAAGACAATTAATACATTAGCTTTTAAAAGCAAGATATGAAGAAATAGAAATTAGCATATAAACTTTAAAAAAACATAAGTGAATTCTTAATAGAATAAATATTTCTTTTGAGAACAATAACTACAAGTACATGATGATTGACATTAAGCTTATGTAACTCTTTGTCGTTCCCTAACATCCTTTCCTATATTGATACTTCTAACATGCTTACGTTCTAATTTTACAAACAATCAATATAGAACTATAATGCACCCAACATAGAGAGCACTTATTCCTTACATGTACTGAATCATAATACTATATATTTACATGTTTTTCATCTATCCTTTTCTTAATTGTTGTCTTTGTACTTTTAACTAAGTTTTGAAGAGATGTAACATTTGCTTTATGTATTGTTAAAGCACAATGTTTTTATTACCTTGACAGTGTCATTGACCAATTTTGTTTTGTCTGACTGACTTATTATAGACCTACTTGGACTAATTAATTTTATTCATAAAATACAAAAAAATTATATCACATAAATTTAATTTCTTTCATTTGTAAAATTACTTGTTTGAAAATTACGATAGTTAGTTTTATTGCATCTTCTGTTTAAATAATGAGACATGGAACAAAAGTGAAGTAACAAAGAAATAGTAAGGTTTCTTTCACACATTCTAACATTATGTTACACACTTATAAAAATAGAATGTAAACACAATATAACCCAATCAATCAAAAGGAAGAGATTAATACCAAAACAAGTGCAAAGATAATGGCATAGTACAAGTATAGAAGATTGAAATTGTCATATGAAAAAAGGCCTAGTCAATTAAATCTTCCAGCAGCTTGCAATAGTGCATGGATTGAAAACAACAAAAAATAAATAGATGCAAGCTCTTTTGATTAAGTGAACAATATTATTAAGAGAAAGAATGAGAGCAAGATCATGATAGTGAAACTGTACATGAGAGAGAGCACAATAGATTGTGTCACGACCCTTTTTTCTAAAGAATCAATGACATCCTGCATTACCATTATTAATTCAATTTCACTTATGAGATAATACATGCATAGAATAGGGAATATAATTTTTCAAAATTTGAACATCAACATCTCAATCAACAAAATAACAAAGCCCTGAGGGCATTTTCATGTAATCCAAAAATTTACATAAGTGTATATATATTTACAACGGTTATTTACGAGGAGCTCAAAATACAAGTTGCTGAATAATAATTACATCATTTAAGATTGTAGCTAAATAGTTTAGACTCATTACTAAGATCTAGACTAACAAAATAAATAAAGCTACAATCTCTACAAAAGCACTTGACTCCATGCCTTTCTCAGACAAACCTTCTAGCATGAGAAGTAGCTACAATACCTATCACATCTGCTCACGTACCACAGTACCATCATTGCAAGACACACACACACACCAACCTAGACAGAATGGCAAGGGTGAGCTTATAAAATAAAAATCATGGTTATAGAAGTAAACTATGAATATAAACATTCATACAATTCATTGTCTCAACATTTTTAGCACTCAGCACAACAATGCAACTCATCTAATGCAAGATGTAACTCTCCAAATTTTGGTAATATTAATTATTGTTATTTATATAAATCTAAATGCATATATATATATATATATATATATATATATATATATATGTGTGTGTGTGTGTGTGTGTGTGT